CTCTGTCTTTCTGGTGAGCGCACACACCCTAGCAAAAAAAAAAATCTGCTATGCCACAAAAGGGGTGAGATAAAATATCATGGGAGCCCAGAAGAAGAGAGATTTGTTCAACTTGGAAAAGGAGAGAGGATAGGGCCAGGAAAATCCTCTTGAATGCATTTTAAAAGAGAAGGTGAATATGGGACCAGCAGATGGTGTAATAATTGCATTGCTGGACTATCACATGGCTGATCACAGTTCAAGTCCCAAATCCAGAGGCTTGAATCTTACTCTGAGCATGCCTGAAATTCTAAAAGAATAAAGGAGAAGGGATTGTAGTGTAGCCATCCCCTGGGGGATGATTTCCTGCTTTCTGTCTGTCTCTCTGGCGAGTACATGCACCTATAGCAAAAATCTCTAAAATAAAATAAAATAAAAAGGTGAATTTATCTTTGCTGAGATTGGCCAGGGAAGAAAGAGAGCTTCTGGGTGGAGAAATAAAGCAGGGAAATGTGGGTTCGAGGGGCCTGTTCAGGAACCAGGGCAGGGTCCATCCAAGAACTCTGAGAAAAAGGACCTTCATCACTCACAGTTTTACGGCTTGGTTAGAGCCACCTTCCTGCTCTCGATTAGACTCCACAAATACTCACTTCTTTCCAAATTACATAATGTTCCACTGGGAATTCTGGGAAGTCAAGCCAACATGGGCCTTGGTCCTTGCCCCTCCATGGCTCACAGTGCTCTTTCCCAGCCCTCTTCTCTCCTAATACCATAGTGTTTAATGTCCCCTTTACTGGCCCAAAAGTGCCTACATACCCTACCATGTGTGATACAACCTACTCATGGGTGATCTAAAAACAAAAACAATGTGATACCCTGTGACTAGGATAAAGGAGAAATGCAAGGAGAATAATTTCTAATAAAGCAGAATGTATTTCAATACGTGAATGCTTGAGGAAGCTTACACTCAGAGTTGTGAGAGGTCAGATATTCCACTTGCATACAGAATTATTGCAAATGAAGTAGGTATAAAAAGTAAACTAATATAACTGCATTTTATTGGAGATAAACCACAGCGGTGTTACCATTAGTAGAGGTAATTTTCTTTTCTTTTTTTAAAAATGTATTTATTTTACATTTTTTCACTGAACATCATCATAGCATATAAAATGCAATTTTCCATCCAGAATACACAGTAAAGTGGCTTAATCATACATGTCATCATCAACAAATAATTTCCCATTTCTTGTTTCTTGTAGATATTTTTTTCCCCCCTATTTCTTACCCTCTGCCATTTCCCACCCTCCTTCCACAACCTCTCTGGTATCTGCAGTTGCTTTCCATTTCTTTTTTTTTTTTTA